CAAGCAGTATATATTTAATAAAAGCTTAGTTGGCATCATGGTGATTATCATTTTCACTTTTAACTTTATCACCTGAAAGAATAAGTTATCTGAAATTTATTTCTTTATAGTTTGCTTATCAAGAATGTAGACCATAGTAAACTATCACTAGTAATTGTATATGCCTGATGTTTGATCAGGTGTGACTAGCATTACAAAATTCCTTAGTATGCTATTAAACCTTCATTACTGTATCAATAAAGCTATTTTATTTCCATTTCCTTGAATCCTCTCGTCATTTCTACCTATGTTAAAGCTTTGAATTTGCTATTTATGCATATAATAATAATATTTGTATTTTTTAGGGAAGGATCTATAGGGTGTTCAGAGTCTCACTACTAGATGGGACTTGTAGTGATCTCCCTGTATACAGACTCCCAGGAGCTGCAATTACAGGCATGCACCAACATGCCCAGTCTTATACCTATAATTATTTATGATTTTAGTCTTTACTGACATTTTTCTTTGTTACAGTTGGAACTAGCTATTTTTAAAGTTACAAAAAAGTGAAAATGCATGATCTTATCAGTTTTTGAAAGCATGTTGCTTTGTTTTACAAACTATAAGTAAAAATTTATTTTGAAACAATAGATGCAGGTTTTTTTTGCTTTGTATTTATTCTTTGCTTTTAATCTGTTGAATTGGCTCAAAGTATGTATTTTGTTTGAGACAAGGTCTCTTGGTATGTAGTTCAGGCTTTTCTAGAGCTCACTGTGTAGTCCAGGTGTTACAGTTTGTGTCTAGATGTCCCTTCAAAACCTCATGTAGTCCTAGGAGTGACTGAATGTAGAGTTTATGATTGATTCATTGCTTGGTGCTGGGATTACGGGTTTTGGGTGTGAGTGCTACACCCACCCTGGGTAGGTATTCTACATACAATACAGGGGACAGAAAGAATCTTCTCTTGCTGCCATGAATTGTTGCTCCTCTGCCATGCATCCCTGCCTTTGAGCCAGCTGACTGAAATCCCCACAAACTGAGCTAAAGAAACTTCCTTATTTTGGGGCATTGGATATTTTGTCTCAATGACAAAATGGGAGAAAAATGAGAGAAAAGTAACTTAAGATACCAGGCTAGCCTAGAATTTACAAGCAATATCTTGTCTTAGACTCTCCAGTGCTGAGATTACAATTATGCACGCCTGGCATTGGCCAAAGTATTTTACAACTCAAAAATTGAGTCCTTCAGTAAAACTGGAAATTTATGCTTGAACTTTTATTCTGTGTTCCTTTCATGAAGGTAATAGTTTCCTTTCTAAATTTTTTAATTTTTCTCATTCTTGTGTATATAAGTTTCTGTGATAAGATTTTAGTTTTCTTAAAATTAAGCTCTTCTGAAATACTTTAGATTATAAATGTTCCTTTCTTATCCTTGTGTTAATACTGTACTGCTGATCTCCCCCTACATGCGCACAGCATTATAGTCACACATGCAACACAAACAATGTTTTGTTTGCTAATTATAACACCTTGAAGATTGGCTTTGTTGAATTTTGACTTAATGTGAATTTACCTACTTCTTTACACGCCTGTTAATTGGATTGGATGCCAGATAGTGTGAGTTTTATTGGATGGGTTGGATATTTTTATATATCTATAAGAATCAGCTTTGTTCTGGAGCATAGTGAAGTAATTGGAAAATAGTTTGGTCCCTTTAGGTCTTGCTTTTCACATTTTCTTAAGCAATACTCTGAGACTAGCTTTAACTGTTTCTCCTACTGAGGCAAAATCCTTCAGGGTTGTTCTTGTGAATCATGAAATTTTCAGTCTGGCTCTTTGTGAGAACCAGAACATACTTGCTGACCATGATTGGGGTGTAGGAGGTGGAGGGAGCACAGTTTTTTCCTGGCCTCTGCAGTTTTCTGCCAACACTGATTAATGTTCAGTGAAGAACTTGAGTGGGCCTTTGGCAGTTCTCAGTTCCTTGGACACTTACCTTGGTCCTCCATTCCAGGAGACAGCTGGACCCAGATCTCAAATAATTAAGCTGAGCAGTTAACTGCAAAGGGCCTCTTTGCCAGAATTGCCCTCAGTTGCCTGACTTTAAATGGCTTGAAATGTCTGTTCCCTGTGGTTTGGTTGTTTCAGGTGGGACAGTGAATCTGGTTTCCTGTTACTTGATCTTGACTGGATTTGGAAAAACAGGCATGCTTTTTAAGTTCTGCAAGGTATACTGTGCCAGCCCCAACCCCAGGATATGCTGAGACAGTGATTGTGACTGGGCCTAATGGTGCACACCTGTAATCCCAGCACTGGGGAGGCTGTAAACAGGAGGATCACTATGAGTCCTATCTGTGCAATGAGACCCTGTATACCTTATCCTAAATACAAAAATAAAATAAGATCCACCAGGTAATAAAAGTAACTTTCATAGATCCACCAAAAGGAAAAAAAAGGTGAATATAAATATATATCATACGGAGGAAATATCAGCATTCTTCAACATGAGGATTAAAATCTGTGTTTAAACATGGATTTTTTTTTCTCTGAAAGTATTTATGCACATTTTATATTGCTTGCTGTGCAGCTAACTTCAGCATTCCGTTTCTTGATTGACTGGTTCTAGCTTCTCATTTATTTTTTCTTTCTTTCCTTTTTTTTTTTTTTTTTTCTTTTGGTGGAACTAGGGATTGAACTCAGGCCCTTATGCTTGCCAGGGCAGCACTTATTCCACTGAGCCATCTCCCCAGCCCCTCATTTATTTTTTCATGGTGTCTCATAAGCAAAAAGTAGTTTCTTTTAGTTCTAATTGTTAGATATTTATTTCCCAAGCAATTTAATTAGTAATTAAATACCTTAAATTGAAAAAAATTTAAGCTACTTTATTAATTAATCTATATTTTTTTGGATTCTGCTCACATTTTCCAGCTTTGGAATCAGATGGACGTTGCCTCTTTTATTGTTTCATGTTTGATTTTGTTTGTTATTTTGAGAGAATCTTGCTATGTAGTGTAGACTAGCCTGGAACTTCACAGCAATCCTCCAGGTTCATCATCCCCAGGTGCTAGGATTACAGATATGAGCCACCACACCCAGCCTCCACGTTGATTTTTGCATATTTTTATAACCAGCAAAAATCTAGCTCTGTGAAGATATGTCATTATCAAAAGGATTTACTAATATTTAATACTGAAATATACATACTTTGAGTTGTTTACATATTGGCTAAACATTGATTGGTACTGTTTTCCTTTAATTTCCAAATATTCCTTGGGACTTTGTAAGCCCTGGATTATGCTGTCTGAATCTACACTTCAGAGAGTCAAGGTTGGTCTAACCCTTCCAACATGTATATGCATTTTTCTACTAATGATAATAACTGAAAATAAAGCAAGAATACATACTTCAGTGTTAGAACTTCTGTCTTCATTCGTTAAGCTCAGTCATGAGTTGTAAGAGAAAGCTACTTTATTATACCAGTTTTATTTTCTTTTGATTGTCATCTCAAAAGCAACAGGTATTATTTACTATTTGTGATACTTTGTGTTAAACCACTTGCATTTTCATTATGCATAAATATTTTAAAATTGTTATATTTTAACTTATAAGTGTATATATATGTTATACTTATAAAATGTAAAGGAAGAATCAGTTCTGAAATTGTGGTGGGCATGCATGGTGTCATACTTGAAATCACAGAGGATCACAGTGAGTTCAAGACCAGCCTGGAATACAGAGTGAGATTATGTCTTTTTAAAAAACAAAACCAAAAACACTGAAATTATAATGCCTTAGGTGAAAGAATAGTGCAGCACCTGTCCTTCTGTAGCTTGCCAGGACTTTCAGTATGCAAATATTCCTTACTAGATGATTACAAGTCATTAAGGATGGCTGGGCATGGTGGTGCAAGCCTGTAATTTCAGCACTGGGGAGTGTGGGACAGGAGACTTACTATGAGTTCAAGACCAACCTGAGCTACAGAGTGAGTTCAGGGACAAACCTGAACTACCTAGTGAGACCTTATCTTTCTCTCCCCTCTTCTAAAAAAAGCCAAGGGAATAGATTATAGATATTTTCTATAGAACTATGACTTGATATAAGGAAAATGTGATCTTAAAATTCATTTTCAAGATATGATCTGATGGAAATGTAGTTAGAATTAGTCTTATGCTTATAGTGAAATGTTGCCATAAATAATACTTGAAATATCCAAAACAAATAGCACTTCCTCTACACAGTAGCAGCTGTTTTGCAAAACACTAATGTTGACTACAAATTAATGTTATTAAAAACAATCATAATTGGGCTGGCCAGATAGCTCAGCAACTAAAGCAAAAGTGCCTGCTTAGGCAGGTGCAGGAACCAGGGTTCGATCTCCCAGGACACACTGAGCCGGTGATTTGAGACTGGGCATGGTAGCATGCGCCTGTAATCCCAGCACTTGGGAGACTGAAAATAGGAGGATCACTAGGAGTCCAATCTGTGTAGTAAGGCCCTGTAGACCCTGTACTAAGTACATTTTTAAAAAATCATAATTGAATGAAAACATCACTGAATTTCAAAATTAAAACTTGGGTTCAATTTCTAAATTGATAGCTTATTTGCTATGTGATAAGTAATTTGATTTTGATGAGTTCTCACTCTCTAAAAAACAGATAACATGCTTCTTAAAGTGCTTTTTATAATTTAAGGATGGTGCCATAAGTTTCTTAATATAGTACATAGAAATACTACAGAAATTATTTTCTTACTGTTAACAGCCTTAGCATTTGGCTGTATGCCTGATACATAGTATGTGCTCAACAGATATTTATTAAGTCAGTTATTATTTAACCCAGAGGTCCACACTCAGGCCTTACTGCCTGGGTTGGGGGGCGGGGGGAGGGAGGAGCAAAAAGGTATGTAATGTTATCATGATATAATAATGCAAAGTGGATTAAATAATTGACAGTGGGTGCATATTATGAAAGATGTATTCTCTTTTAAAAATATTTGTAATAGTATACTTTGTAAATATTTTAGGAGGAGCAAAATAGAGGCAAGCCCAACTGGGAGCATCTAAATGAAGATTTACATGTACTAATCACTGTGGAAGATGCTCAGAACAGAGCAGAAATCAAACTGAAGAGAGCAGTTGAAGAAGTGAAGAAATTACTGGTACCTGCAGTAAGTAGTAATTCAAAATCTCAAATTTAATCCTCATCTTTTTTTTAAACTTTAATTTATTGTAAGGTGTATTTTAAAAAGCAAGCTACTGTTAAAGGTTTTTTAAACTACAAAATATAAAAAGTAAGTGGAGTAGAATAGAAAAACAGATTATTACACAAATTCTTAACTGGGGAGTCTTTATATGAAGAAAGTAGTGTGGGAGGAGGAGTAAATCCAGTTAATAGCCCACGTCTCAAACATAATCAGCTTTCAATCATTGTGTTTTATTGAAAGAATATAGGTACAGCATCAGTAAGATGATGGGTTTGTTTACTTATCTATTTAGGAAAGTAATTAAGTAGTATTTAGTTCTGTACAACTAAAGCTTATGTTTGGTGAGCTGAATAATAGAAGCACATTAATTAAATTGCCTTTGTGTGTAAGGTACTCTCCTAATGTATCATTGTCTTGCAAAGGAGAAAAATTATTATTATTATTATTATTATTATTATTATTATATTGTGTATATGTCAGGGATTGAACTCAGAACCTTGTGCTTGCCAGGCAGGCACTTATGCCATTGAGCTATTTCCCCAGCCCTAAAATATATTATAGGGCCTGTTTCTTATTATTCTTGTTATATATAACTCTTTAGTATCTTTAGAAATGATAATTGAACTGTTACCAGAGTGTTACCATTTTTCAATGGAAAATGAAGTATTACTGGGTTTTCTCTGTCATTATTAAATTATTTTCTCATATATTAATAAAAATATGTGACATGTAGATTCTAACTTGCTATTGAAAAATTTAGGGGTACTGCTAATATTGGGTCCAATCTTGGCAGTTACATAAAATGAGTATGGCATCTGATGTTTTTTTTTATTTCTCAGAAATCTATTCTTTATATTTCTGTTAGTCTGTTTTTTTTATTTTTATTTTTATTTTTATTTTTATTTTTATTTTTATTTTTTTGCGGAACCAGGGATTGAACTCAGACCTTTGCAACTGCCAGGGAAATGCTTATTCTACTGAGCCACCTCCCAGCCCCCTGATAGTCTGTTTTATGTCTTAGATGTTCCATTCACTCGGCAAAACTAATTGCTTAGAAGAAAAGAATTTCATGTAAATTGTCACGTACGGAATACAAGCAGCGAAGCTAATGTAAAAGTAAACTGTATTTATACATTGTTAAATCATGTAGTCGTCTTCCCCCTTTGACAAAATTCTTGAAAATCTTTTATAGAAGATGGAATTTTTGTACACACAAGGCTAATTAGTTCTGTGATCAGCAACTTTGATACACTTATATTACTAAATATAGTAAAACCTTGGTTTGTGAGCATAATTCATTCTAGAGATATGCTAATAGCCCAAACCACTTGTATATCAAAGCCAAGTTTTCCATGAGAAATAATGGGAACTCAGATGATTCATCTACAGTCTGAGAATATTCATATAAAATACAAAAAAGAAGTCTTTATATTATTCTTGGAAAATTTTCATGTCTGTGATGAAGAATCTAAGAAGAGGGTTATTGTGTAAGATGACTTTCATCATCACTAACAGAATCACTGCTGTCTATTGGCTCAATGGAATCTTTTTTGTGCAACTTTAACAGGGAAACTATCCAGTGACACTTGGTTTTACCTCCTTTTGAGGATTTTGTGGACATGACATTGCAAATTGATCACACTGCTGTAGCCTTATTGAAGTGGTGCTTTTCTACAAAATTTTATAGTTTCCAACTTTTTACACATTTTTCTAATCTCATTTAAAGTGAGGGATTCCACTCTCTTTTTTTCTTATTCTGCTACAGGTGAGATCTCCATAACATCTTGCTCCTGGGAGATGGTTTCCCACAATCCCTAGAAGTGGGATGGGGGTGGGAGAACAATGGGCTCAGTAGTGATCACGTGACTTTCAGTGTCACATACTAGTATTGCATATATTGTTCATTTATAAAATTAAAATTTATTAGAAATGCTTTTTTGCCAAACGGAATACTCCCAGAACAAGTTACTTGCAATCCAAGGTTTTACTTTATATTCAAATAGGCTGTTCATATTATACTGTGCATTGATGTTATTACTGATGTTTTAGAAATGAAAGTTACTCGTATGCAAAAGCTAAAACTGAATGAGTTGAACTTGTTAGCATAGGCCTATAATCCCAGCACTCAGAGACCCCGAAGCAGAAGCTATGCCAAATCTAAGCCTAGCCTAGACAGTTTAGGGCTTTTCTCAAAATATAAAGAACATAGGGCTTGGGGATTTAACTCCATGGGAAGGCACTGGGTTCAGTTCCCAATTGTAAAACAACATGATCTCATAAATGTAGAAAGTGAAATAAGGGTCACCAAAGTGCTGGAAACAAAGTGAAGTGAGGGATGATACAAAGAGGGATGAGCAGATACAAAATTACAGTTAGATGGAGGAATAAGGTCTAGTGTTCTGTAACATAATAGGATGAGGATAGTTAACTTGTGTGTTTAAAAGTAGCTAGATGACAAGACTTTGAGTGTTTCTCAATTGCGATAATCTTATAATTTCCCCTGTATTTCTGAAATCATGCGTTCTTTCACAGTAATATGTAGCCCACATTCTTACTTTCTGTTCTCTTAATATTTAGGCAAGTTACCAGTGTCTTATCTCCTTCTTTGTGTTCCTGGGTTATTGTTTTTGAAGAATTTTGTGACTTTTCTTATTTTCATAAATAAGCACTTCTGCCTTTTCTGTTTCTTAAAACTTGATAAATGGTTAAATGAAAATGTACATTGCTATGTAAATAAAAAGAAAAATAATGCTTACAAGAGAAGTTAAGAGGTTCTGTTAGGTTGTAATTTTTTGCTTCAAATATCATCTAAAATGGTATAAAAGGATTAGTTAGGTTGCAAAAGAAGGGGAAAAGATCCAATAATGTTGATTATAGAATATGTTTAGAGTCACAGTTTAGCTTCCTTGATTATATGAATGTGAGAAACGGAATGCATGTTGTGATCAAATTAATGCTTTTTATGTTTGTGAAAAGAGTTTGAACTTTTTTCGTGTAAAAGTTTAATGTTTTAAGAGTAGATGCAGAATAAAGTGTAGTTTTAGAGGATTTTACTGGCAATAAGGAATTAGTTTAGAGTAGAAAATGAGTGAAAAAAGAAATGGAATAGAGCTCCAAACTTTGTAGTTCGATTGGATGTGTAAACCAAAGGGGGATTATTTTTGTGATGAATTGGGATTCAAGCCTCAGGATAGAGGGGAAAAATAGTACTATTAACAGAAACAGAATCAAGATGAAAACAGTATGTTTATGAGAAAAGATCAACAGCAGTGATTCCTAACTTTTAGGGTCGGCTTTTGTAAGTGTGTTGAAAAGTGTCTTCTCTACTCACAATAATAGACAAATCTAGATTTTGCATTAATTTCAAAGCATTTATAAACCCCTTAGGCTTCATATCGCTGTGTGTTGGACCGAAGGAATTATATAGAACAGATTGAAGATTCCTGCTCTAGGACAAACTCCCCCACATCACCCTAACCAGTAAAGAAAAACAGTGGTGCTTGCTTGAGGATTGTGTATTAAAAAGGGTATGAACCACTTCCTGGCAATTAAGAACTGTATTTCAACTTTTTAATATTTAATATGATAGACTATTCATGTTTAAAAGCTCTTTCCTCCTACTAGGCATATAGAACTATTACCCCTCCCCATTTCCTTGTAGTTTGTGATAGCTGTAAGCAAAGTAGTAGTATTTTAAGGCTGAAGCATTTAGTAAGCAGTGCACAGGCCTCTAGCTTTTCTGTATCTTTGTGCCTGAAGAAATTTCCATTCTAGCTGGTAAAATAACAAAAGAGTAGAGACCACCGAGACTGGGGCTCTGACAGTGCAGAGCATAGCTGTTCTTTCTCCCAGCATATGAAACAGTGTGAAAATGAAATATATATTTGTTAGATTAAACTATTGTGATTGGGGATTGTTTGCAATATGATGTAACCACTATGGAAATCAGTATGGAGTTTCCTCAAAATCTAAAGTTAGAAATTTTTTTCAAACCAGCTATTCCCCAGCTATGTATCTTCCCAATTTAGTTATCATATCACAGTAGCATGTGCATACCCATGGTAAAACAGCACAATTCATAATAGCTAAATCTTGAAAGTGGCCTGTATGGCTATCAACAGATGAATGGATAAAGAAAATGTTATATAGTGGAGAACTACATGATCATAAAGGTTGAATTTAAGTCATGTGTAGGAGAATGGTACCTCGAAGCCATAATGTTTAGTGAAATAAATCAGACAGAGAAGCTTAAATGTCACATGGTTTCCTTTATATGAGAAACCCAAAATACAAATAATTTAAAGAGAAAAAAACAAATAGGAAACAGTGAGATATGCCTTTTGCAGAGCAGAAGGAGATCTGGAGATGGAGTTGGGGATGGGTGAGGGAGAGAAAATTAAGATGTAATAGGTACCAACTTCCCAAGATCGATATATTGTGTACTGCAGGCATGTAGTAATATATAAAAATAGCTGTCCAAAAGTAAAGGAGAAAACTACTGAAAATCATAGGTACGTTAAAATTTTATAACTATTTTACACTGCCTAATTATCTATAGTGTATTGTCACAGCTACTTTAAACCTTTAGATTTTCTAATCATTAGAATGTCTTAGGCTCAAGAGATTAAATCATTTTCATCTTGTTTTTTAAAAGGAATACAATTTTTATCTGGAAAAATTAAAATTTTGGGTTAAGTAAGTGCTGACAACTTTAAAGGAATTGCTATTGTTAGTGTTGCTAACTTAAGTAAATGACTTTTAAACTTAACGTTTTCTTCTACATATTGCAATAATGTAATTTACAGATATTAATTAGTATCTGACACAAGTCAGAATCTGTCATTGGAGTTTAGACTAGATGGGATAGCTGCCCAATTGTGCGAAATGCAATTGTACCTTATGAATTCCATTTTTCTGTGATACTGAGTCACAGAGTCACGATTATTTTTCCTTCTTCTTCCTAC